ACCTTTGAGATTTGCTCAATTCATGCTGTAGGAGCCAATAAGCACTCAGGATATAAAAGTAGGAACCAATGTTTGTTTACTCAGGTCTCTTAATAAACTAAAAGCTTCAGAAGGAGCTGTTTAGCTGATTTTTCCGGACTGAGATTGACTCATAATCAATTTAGTTTAGCCTTGATTAACTTTAACCAGCCTGTTTCCTGTGTTATTAATAAATAGAAATGTGTTAATTGCATTTGGACACTAGTTACTCGATGTACTTACAGTGGCACAGTGTGGTTGCAGTGGGTAAGAGGCACTTAACAAGACATGTTAACCCTCTCGTTGCCGCGAGGAGCGGACAGGTGTCCGGTTCGGCGAAAACAAGCGAAACTCATCCTGAGCACACACAAACACTCACAGCGTGAGAATGAGAATGGGTCTGCGGAGAGCATCCCAACTCGTCTATTACCAACCAGGGAGCTCTATGCAAGTCAATGGGACTCCCTAGTTAGTTGAAAATGTACGCTAGAGGTCCCCACCCCTCCTGGTGTGTGAGGAGCTCTGCGGATTGGTCCATTTTGGTTCCCGGAAGAAACAAATGGAAAAAGAGAAATGTCCAACGAGGCGTTCTGGGGCAGCATAGACAGGTCTTCTCTGTGTTAGAGTTTTACTCACTACAGGGTGTACTTTGAGCGTTTGTGACTCTGCAGACCGTTTACATGCAGAAAAACCTTCATAACACACAAGGGGACGGGTAATAACCGGAAAAGCATGACATGGGACCTTTAACAAAACATGTCTCGATAAACACGCCATACCCAAAAAGGAGCAGAGAGAAGAAAATAATCTTACTACCTACTCCTTTCTCAAAAATAAATAGAAATAGATGGTCTGTCCTTCATATTTTCTTATTCACAGCCAATCATAACAGTATCGCAGGAAAATAAGAGAAACACAAAAACTGACAAAAAAATACTTAGTTCCCACTTGACAGTTAATGGAAAGAAACAAAACAAAAAAACACCACAACATCCCATGTACAAAGGGAAAGTGCAAAACCCTCATCTGAGTCCTGCTGGAGTAGAAGGGGGAAAGCGGTGCATACTAATAATAATTTGAAGAGACATATTAAAGACGTAACAGTTGTACAGCCGCAGCAGAAAGCCAACAGGAAGTGAAGCGGCGTGGGGGGTGTGATGGAGACGGCGAGACGCTCAGGAAAGGCTGAGGGATGATGGAGTGCTCACTGGGGATTTCTCAGATGAGGCGTGAGTGCCTCGTGGCGATCATTCAGGGGAGCCAGGGTACATATCCCTCCATGAGAGCAATCTGGCAAACGTCTGCTGCCGTTCAGCACAGATCATGCAAAGAGATGGATTTCAGCCGTACTTAAGCTAGCAATAATAAATCAGTTTACCGGCAAAACAGACTGATAGTAACATTTAACTAAGTGTGCTTTCCCCTTTGTTAGCTCTGCCCTGGCTAACTGTACCAGGATAAACATTTGATGGATTATTTGACAGTCATTGCTTAGAGGTGGGGTAGGTAAGAATGGAGAAACCAGCTTGAGTGCGCTATAATTTGAAAATACACAGAGCCCCTCCTCCAACACACACGAACGCGCACATGACCAATGAGGGCACGAGATAAGTTTGTGCACAGATGGAAGGCTGACAGGCAGGTAGGCCATCCAGTTACTTTAGCCGGGCCGGCTCAAATGATTGGTCGTGCTTTTTACAGCGCNAACTAAAACTCAACAAGAGTACCGTCAATCCCGGAAATGAAAGAGAACTATGGCAGCCAATAAATGTTTTTTGTGGATCTATATCGGATTGTAACTATAACATCGAAGACAGAAAGACACAAGAAAAGTAGACATTTGACGGAGTTGCCCCTGACGCAAAGTAGCGAGACGTGCCTAAAAAACTTGTCAAGTTACAGGCGAAGTAAACAAGTAACGGTGAATCAAACTGGTAAGGAAGTACAATGATTCTAAATGATTTATTTTATCATAAATTCATCTAAGGGGCAAGACCGACCGATATTCTTAACGATTTTACGCATAACTTACGAAAGTAATATTCACTCAAATAAATTACATTAATCAATCTCCGGGTATAAAAATGTCATACAGACGTGTCGTCAATGTTACAGTTTGATGTAATCTTGTGTTAACAGGTGTAAACAAAATTATCAATGAATTGTAATCTACTCTATACCTTGGCTTTTGTTTTTTACAGGGACCAAAAAGTTAAAATTTTAGTTCAGTGGCTTACGTTCATCAGCGGAATCGATAAACACAATACTCTACATCTTTAATGACCAAGTTAAATCAACTACATATTGAAACAAACCAAAGAATGTAATTTTTGTTCAATGTTAAAAGTGTTTCCAAGAACACAAAAAAGCCCCCCCTCCGGAAAAAGTCAAATCTCCGTTACGGGGAGGTTTACCAGACACGTGCAGGGGACGGAGTGTGCTACACCCCACCTTTTAGACAACTAGAATACCTTCCGTCTCAATACCAGTTAACGTCCACTACACTTTAATAAATAAAGGATATAAGATCTTCAAGGGGGAGATTGACACACAGACTAGGTGTCTTCTACCGCCTGAGTACTACAGGTTGATAGGACTTGCCATCGCGCACTCACCACGTGTCTCAGGTCAGAAGACAATACCTAGTGTTCACCTGACATCTCCTGACACTCCTAGTCTCCCCTTGTTGAGAGGGAGAGGAGGGGTCGTCTCTGTCAACAAAAGGTCCCGGAAGGAGATAGGTCTCTGTCCCGGCCCCCAGTCCGGAGGGAGGTACGGTCGACTTCCGGGACCCTCACCCCGTCGCGCGGCCGTCGTGTCGGACCGAGACCCTCGAAGTGACAAATGTAAAGTGGAAGTGTTACTTTAACGGGAGCCAGCAGGCAAGTCTGTACACCCTAAACAGACGATAACGAACACTCAAACAGTGTGACACTTGTGTGAGGAACTCAGAGGGGTCACAGATGTCTCGAACACACGCAGTACTTACGTGTGTTTGTGTGTTGTGTGTTGTGTGTGTGTGTGTGGGTGTGTTGTGTGTGTGTGTGTTGTGTGTGTGTGTGTTTGTGTGTGTGTGTTGTGTGTGTTGTGTGGTGTGTCGGTGTGTGTGTGTGTGTGTGTGTGGTGTGTTGTGTGTGTGTGTATGAAGGTTATGTCGTAACCGAGATGTTATGACGACAATAAAGATCTCACTTGGTCTTGTACACTCCGACACTGAGGTGGTCTTAACCCACCGGCAGATGACAGCGCTGACAAAGTGTGTTTCCCGCAGCGACAGAAAAAAGAAAAAGAAACTCACTCTCTCCAGAGGGGCAGGTCAGCCAAAAAGGCCAAACGGGCCGTTGCCCGGGCAACATTAGCCCGTACCTGTGCACGTCCCTGGTGTGAGGTTGTTAGGAACAAGTACAACTACAGTATAACACTTCTGCATTCAGATTGTTGTTTGACGTTGATATTTATAACCCAATTTGTTCGAAGCACGCAGGTGCCTTTGGAATGAAAATACTCATGCTTATATGGGTATCCATTACTTTTAAGTATTTCAACCATTTATCCATAAGTTAATGCTAAGAATTTAAATGATTTATTTTAGCTAACTTCCAACCATCTATCAATTAAATTCAGGTCGACTAACTATTTAAACAATGTAATGTACGTATATATAATATTTAGCTAATTATTCAACCTTTTATCCATTATCTTCAAGCTACTGTGGAGGCTGCGAATGCTGATTGGAGGAACGTGTTGCCAAGAGACTTTTTTCTAACTCTGCGCACCAAACAAAGAGAACCAAGTCTAAACCATGGTTTCTCTTCAGCTAGTCTTGACCAATCATAAATGTACGGGCAACGGCCTGTTTAATAAAAATGTATGCACGCACGAGGTTCGAGGCTCTTGTCCGGAAATAGACTGACAGATTACAGCTTTGCTGTCTGTGTCCTTGGCCAAGTGACTAGGCCTATATATCATTTGCTCTCTCATAATAAATAGTTAAACTTAGAAGTCGTCTGTCTTTCCTGGAATTTTGAACACAACACTACTTGAAGAATTGGTGTTTTACTTGTAGCTAACCATTTTATCCATTCTTTTTAGCTAACTCTTTAAAGCATTCATCCATTACTTTAGACTGATTGTCCAACCATTTATCCATTACTTTAGACTGATTGTTCAACCATTTATCCATTACTTTAGACTGATTGTTCAACCATTTATACATTACTTTCAGCTATATTTCAACCATTTATTCAATTTATTATAGCAAACGTTTTTAACAATTGGTTCATCAAGTTAGCCATTTAGCCATCACTTTTAGCCAACTACTTCATCAATGTGTCTAATACATTTAGCTTACCACTTTACCCATCATTTTTTGGCTAACTCTTTTAAACCTCAATCAAAAACTTTAAGGTAACTACTTTTACAATGTATTCATTATTTTAGCTCACTATTTTAACCAGTTCTTAGCTAACTATCCCAACAAACTGCCCATTACTTTTAGCTAACCATTTAGCCATCACTTTTAGCTAGCTAATTTAACATTTTTAGCAAGCTATTTAAAATAAATGTTTTTATTACTTTTAGCCAAACATGTAACTAATATCTAATATTACCTTTGGTCAACTATTACAACCATTTATCCCTAACTTTATTATGAATGATATATCTCTAGGTGTAATAGGCGGGACGTGTGGTAGTGTTTATTGGTGAGGTGTACTACTTCATTTCAAAATGAGCGTTTTATGTAAACATCTGAAACATTGATGTATCTGAATCTTTAATATTTCAACACACTGGGATAAAAGCGCTTAATCCTTTCCTGAATGATAAAATACTCAAATGTTCGACCCTACACAAACAGTTGTGTTAAAACGTCACCCAGATTTCTCCACAGAATATAACTGGTGAGAGCCAAATGTCTGATGGCAGCCACGTCAGGATAGTGAGAAATAAGATAAATACTATTAACTACACACTTAACTTACCATTGAAGAACTTAATGATGTCAGTGAAGTCCATGTTGTTGTCCCTGATGATCTCACGGTACACTGTGACCAGGGCCAAGGCCAGAAAGAGGACGAAGTGCTGCGAGGAAATCCTGGAAGCCACCCAGATCACCTCCCACACCGCAAACACATCCTCGTACAGGAGCTCTGGGCGGGGGGGGAATGGATTTATTGATTAATGTTAATTACGACTTAGTCCAATGGTAACAGAATCAGCAACAAATAAAACATGCACTGCTACTGATAGGCATTAAGAGATCTCACAACCTCAACTGGATGAAAACATGTTACCTCTTTTTTTTGCTTCAAACTGTTTGCTGCCAAGCAATGATTTTCTCCTGCCCAGTGGGGGGCTGTTACTAAAGTAACCATAGCAATGCAGCATTACATAAATACTCTGTTACACATAAAAGGTATGCACATGTGTACTTAAGTAAAAGTACAAAAGTCATCAAATCTAAATATTTAGGTGCAAAAAAGAGATCATACTGTGCAGGTTATGCCTTCCAGCTGTGAAAAGGTTGTCAGCATCTAAGGACGAATCATGGCCATTCATATCTTTCTATAACCATTATCAATTATGAAATTATCAAATGTTTTCATATATAAAGGTCATTTTAAAAGGTCATTTTTGGCTTTTATTCAAGAGAGTAAAAGGTTAAGAAACAAGCGCTGGATATTTAAAACTATATTACACTTTTTTTGTTTCTGTAATGTATTCTACAGATATAGGCTGTAGACATATAAGATGTGGTAAAAGGTGTAATGTTGCTGGCATGAGATCAAAATGTCAATAAACAGATTTTATCACTGTCAATCTTTCACATATGTTTAATATATTTTGTATTACCGTACTAAAGGACAACATTTTGCTCAGAGGTGTAGGAAAGTTAAAGCATAAAGAACACATGTAAAGAACCTCAGAATTGGACTCAAGCACTGTAAACGTTGTAATCTCCCCTGAGACAAATGTGTCATTTGTGACATATGGCTATATACGTAAATAACATTTGATTGATAAATGTGAGGTATTGGTTACGTTTCACTGCCCCTGCCAGCCAGAGCATTGCCCTCAGGTGTGCCCCCCCCTCTGTGTCAACGCTTAAACAAACGCTGTGAAGTGCAGTGCGACGGGCACGTAAACATCTGCCAGCTTCCCCTCTGAAACACTGCTAACTGTGTGAGTGTGATCAGCAGTGTGACCCCCCCTCAACATGAGAGTGAGGCTGAAGGATGTGACGGTCACCTCTCTTGAAGTCCAGCAGGAACCAGCGGTAACAGAAGTAGAAGTGAGTGTAATCTCCGTTCTGCTGCATCAGTTCAAACAGCTCAGAGTCCAGGATCTGACATCAGAGTGAGAGCACAGAGAGCGTCAGAGGGACTGAGTGGAGGTGACACACTCCGTCTCACACACTCTCAAACACACACACACACACACACACACACACACACACACACACACACACACACACACACACACACACACACACACACACACACACACACACAGAGGAAGAATTATCCATCACCTGTATCAGGGACCTCATGTTGGCAAAGTGTGTGTCCATGGCTCCACCATTAGGGAAGTTGTGACTCATCCTCTTCATTAGCTGAGTGAAACAGCTGTAGGCCAGACACTCTGAGACACACAGAGACACACACACACACACACACACACACACACACACACACACACACACACACACACACACACACACACACACACACACACACGTTGTTGTTCTGGCAAAAACTTATATTTCCCACTTGCATTTTAAACAGGTGAAAATATGACTGCACAGAGTATCAGTTTTTTTTTACATTTCAAGATTTACTTAATATTTTTGAAATATCTGTTGTTATCACCCCCTAAATAAAGGTGTCTTTATAGGTTTCAAGCAAGTTTCTAGCACCCTAAAATTATTGTTTCTAAAAAGCTGAATGCAAACAAATATCTATTACAGAGGAATATCATCTAAAAATGTAGAAAAACACATGTTATTTTTATCTGTAATAATGCACACATACCTATTCTAAACAAAGTGAACAAATATGTAAGATTAAGAGAGAAAGAAAACTACCCAGCATTAACATTTGTATTCAAAAATTAAATGTCGATTTTAATGAATAAAGCTTCTAACTAATAATAATGTCATAATCTGAATTAAGAAAGTCTACTTTTTCAGTGTTAACTTGAACTGAACTGACATGCACACACACACTAACAGCCCCGCTGGTGTTTGTTGTTTAATTGCTGTAAACTATGCACAATGCTAATGCATAAAACTCATGGCTGATTTACATGTTAATGTTTTTTATTATCAATGTTATGATTGAATAAGGCACATTAGCTTCAGTTGTCCAACAGCTACAGGTGCTATTCTATCTGTTCTGTTAGGAGATATAACACAGATGAGGATTTGTTCTCTCACCATCATCCAGGATGACCATGAGAGGAGCCAGCAGGTCACACATGCCCTGAACGTAGCCCATCTCTAAATGCTCCCACACAAAGCTGCAGACACAAACACATCACATTCAAATCACCACCGGTACTGCACATGGGAGAATGGAACTTATTACATTCCATCGAGTAATGTATATAAGTGCACATTTGAAAATAATTGTATTGTATCACTTTTTATAATTTGGGACATTTTACTCAAGTTTTACTTAAAGATGCACCAAGTGATAGTTGGCCACTGGTGGGAAGCACACACACAGGACACATTAGCACCTTTTCAATTGACATGGTGAACTTTATATTAACAGCAAGAAAATATTGAGCAACATTACCATTAATTGCATTGTCATGTAGTCATGTAACTTGCCAACATATGCACTATCTTTTAGCTTTATTATTGCCCAGCAACAACTCCTGAAGGGAAACAGCAGTAAATAACAGTCATGAGAGCTGAGAGAGTATATCTATACAGTCCAATGATAACCTGCAAAATCAAAAGAAGGAGCTGAAAGACGTTAAAAAGAGGTGAGGGTTACTTCAGAGTCAGTTGATGACTTTCTGTGGGTTTGTACTACAAAAGACACCCTTCACATTAAACAGTATTTGATGTTGTGTTTAGAAAAAGGTATGCTGTATATGAAAGGTTGAAATAGTTCTTTGACATACCTGCACATGATGTTGCGTAGTTTCTCCAGGTTAGCTGGGGTGAAGTAATAATAGTTGCGGTCGCAGCGCTGCACATCTTTGTCTATCCTGTGGAGGTTAAGGGCCACGGTGTCCAACAGCTCGATCTGCAGCAAGGAAAGGTGACTGTGTATGTTATCACAAGTGTTCTGAAATGTTCCGTTTCAAAATGAAAATGAGGCTAATGAGGCTAACTTATTACAGATTTTAGGGGAAATCTAAAGACACAAACAAATTTATAGTGAGTCAAATAAACACCTTTTTTGTATTTTGGGTGTTTTTAGCCCTCAACATAAACAAGTGCAGGAAAAAAACAATGTTCATGCCGTTGTTTAGTCATGTTATGATTTCACCACATGTTTCTGATTGTCTCAGTCAGATTGAATAAACAGATATATAAACTGTTGACCTTTAACAGCTTTGAAGGTCAACTAAAAGAATGGTTGAGAAAAAAACAGACTTGCAATCACCGCTAAATGCACTTTAATACAGGGGTATCTCCTCTTGCACTTTATGTATCTCTTGTATCTTCTCTTGCACTTTATATGTCGTAGCTGCTACATTGTACTGCCATGTGTTAATGCTTGTATATGCTGCTCATGCTCTTTCTGCATATCATGTATTTATTTTTGCTATGTGTATAAATGTCATGTTCTTAAATGTTGTATGTGAGGGACTACGGATGGAAATTAGCTCAAAGCTAAAATCCGGGATATTTAAATTTTGAAGCATTAATTGTTAAAAATGTTCATCAATGTGCACTGTCCCTCTTCAAATAAACGATTAAATGAAATGAAAATAAACAGGACAGAATATGCTTAACGGGTACTGTACTATGCTAGTTGATACTTTAATTAGCCAATTAGGTTTTTTCTTCCACGTTTTCTGAAATGTTATTCTAAATAAGCAAATTTAGCATTATCCAATGCTAACTTTTGGTGAATTTAGAAATGTACATACTGAAATTGACTAAAATAGCAATAAATACCTAAAAGTATTTTTTGGATGTTTTCTTTCCAGTTTTCCTTTACGATATTTTGCTTACTTACCTTGAGGTAAAACAGCTGAAAATAATTGACTAGTTCATGTAAAACTATGTTTTTGCTGTTGTGTATTTATGTCACAATCGTAAACAGACACACGTACAGTATGAACTGTACATACTGTGTATGAGGAGAGTGAGGGTGAAAACCCCTCTGCAGCTCCTCCGTTGGTCACCAGTTTGTCCAGCTGACTGCACAGCCTGTCCTCAGTCAGAGAGTCCTGACGCCCCCCCGGAGTCCTGCCCTCCTCCCCGCACCCCCCTTCCTCCTCCGTGCTCTGCCCGTCGTCGATGCTGGACAGGATCTGGGAATGAACAGAGGTCACTGAGTAGTTTCTGGAGGAGGGGAGACCCGAGTCGGGGGAGTCAAACTCCACCAGTGGTCGCTCCTCTGGGGGGAGGACTGCAGGGGGAACCAGGGTGGTCATAGTGGGGGTACCGTCCTCTCCACTGGGGATCTCCTGGCTCCCCGCATCCGGCTCGTCCACCGACATAAACACCTAGAGGACAAAGGAACTTTAAAAGTGACAGAAGACAGCGTGGAAATTATGAAGGGTGTGGGGTCATACATCGCAGCACATGGATCGATGTGATTTCACTACTCAAGTCATGAATTTTAAATATCTGAAATATAAGTGTGTATGTATATATATATGAACATGGGTATAGCTTGGTATCTATGTGCGTATGAATGTATATTTGTGAAATCATCCCTCTGTGCGACCCTTGACGAAATATGAATTGTATGAGTGGAAGCAAGCCGTAGCCACTGGAGGATTTTTTTAATTTATTCTTTTTTATATCAGTTTTTAAATCAAAAGTATAGAAAACCTTAACGTAAAAGGTAAAATAAAGGATTTACTAGATACATCTGACAAGATATCCTTCACCCTTAGCACGGGACAATCAATGGATCGTAGAATACCCATGATGCAACATTTTTGTTCCAGTTCCTGTTTTGTAACACAGGGTATCCGTTTCTCAGACTTGACAAAGCTTCTCCAGAGCCACAGAAACTTTACAACTGTTTCACAGGCTAATAGAAACACAGTATAAATTGTTATCTTTTATTGATAGACTGCCCTCTAAGGAATCAAAAGGGTGACATTTTATCACTGTAAAAAAAATCAAGTTTTGGGAAAAATGTAATCTGCAAAATATGAAGATTAGTGATATTAAACAATTCATTTCATGCATACCTGAATGATACTAGTAACTGCATTGCTTATATTGCCTATATTGGTCTCAGCCTCTGTCACAATTACAACTCAAATTGAGCTTAGTCTAATAAGGAGTCAGATGTTTGTCGGTTTCTTCACCTCGTTGCTGAGCGTGGAGTCTCTGTGAACGAGTCGCAGGACGTGGCTGTCGATGCTGCTGCCCGAGGAGAGCTTGGCAAAGATGGCCGACTGCATCTCCTTCTCCCTCTGCTTCACGATCACCTCACACGCCTTCCACTCCCGCATCACCTGCTGGTAGCGCTCGCTGATCTTTGCATCAATCTGCAGATGGGAAAAAGGCATCAAACACACATTGCTTTTCAAAAGTGTGTGCATGTGTGTGTGTGCTCATGTGTGTTTGTTTTAATGTGCTGTACCTGACTCATGTCCTTTTTGCCCATGCCAAACTTGTAGTGTCCAAGCAGGAAAGGCCACACCTCCTTTCTGATGTCATGCTGCACTCCGCCATAATAAACCAGCCTCAGCAGCTCCAGCTCCTTATAGTTCTACACATACACAGAAAATAACAATAGGAAGATTAACCCAGGAGAAGAAGAAAGATAACAGGAAGAAGACGCCTGATGGGAGCGGAACAAGAGAAAGAGGAAGGAATGAATAATGGAGCAGTGATTGAGACTGATGTAGGAAGACATAGATGAGCACAGATGATAAAGGACAAAGATATGAATAGAGTGTTAATTACTGGTGATGACATTGTTGGAGATGATGGATGATTACAGTGGCTCCTTTAATAGCTACGATGGTATCATTCTGCACTCTGTGATGAGACTGAAACTCATTAAGCATCCATTAGATTGAAGGAGAGAGGAGACTGCAGGAGCAGTACTGTAAATGATCCCTGATTTAGGATTATTATACAACTACAGTAGAGAAGGGTGTATTATATATTAGAAATAGAAACACATTAATAAGAGGCAACTAAAGCTAAATTATAACGTTATAGGCCTCCAAGTGCTCCAAAACTGTCGGGAAAAGTACGAAAATATGTGTTTTAAAGTATTTTAATCAAAACTTTCCTAGCCTATCTGTGGCTTAAGGCCCAAGCCCACTGTATACCTGTGTGTCTTCCGCATAACAATGGAAATGGCTTCATGGTGATGGAGGATAGTGCCAAGGGGAAGGAGGTGAACGAGGATAAGGAGTGGACCCAGTACTGAACCCTGGGGGACACCCAGTGTAACACTGGAGCAGCTTGACCTGTGGTCGACGACTTTAAACTATTGTTGTTTGTCTGCGAGATATGAAAGAAAGCACGCAAGCATGACACCTGTGATACGAATGTCAACCAGATGTTCGATTATAAGTCTCTCAGTGCTCCAAAACAGTGGGGAATATCTTACGGTTTTTACCCCTAACCTAGTCCTAGCTCCTAGCCTGTCTGTGGCATTCAGGCTCAAGCTCACTATTTTTCACTGTAAAACATGCTAATCATTCAAAACAGGTTACAAATGCTCAGGTATTACAGCATAACAGCTGGGCACTAAAAAAAACTCACTACTAATTGGGGACTACTTTCAGCTGCAGATTACATCCAGAAATGAGAGTAGTTGCGGTGAAGGATACTGTTTTTTAGAATTGAGTAAAAAAAACGACTGCATGTTTATGGCAATGAAGGAAAATGTCACCCAGCGCAACAGTGACGTTCATTGGTGTGTTTTTAATGTAACTTGCACATATATATTATCTACATCTCACCTCACTTAATAAAATATTACAGTAAATAAGACTGGCACGGCCCTACACAGCACGAGGTGATTTATCTATGGGGCTTGATCAATGCTGATGATGACTTGGCAATCTGCTGGCTTTTAAATTCCCTGGCCTGTAGGTTGGGGGGTAGAGGGGGGTCAGATGGTGCAGGGAGGTGATTAATAATGTTGTTATGTTGTTGTAATTCCTTCTACTTGCTGGCAGAGGTCGATCATGCTCCCATATTTGATGTACTGTGAGCCTCCCGGTGAACCTACCTTGCAGTCCTTCTGGTACTTGCTCCACACCTCCTTGCTGAGGCCCCCGGACGCCTCGCAGGGTCTGTCGGGGAGGACCATGTTGTGGTTGACGAGAGCTGACAGGTGAGTCCGCACGGTGGACAGGTGTCGGCAGTAGGCCAGCCCTGATGGACAGGTGAGACATGGTCAGACACCTAGCTGAGACCAAGCATCAGTACAGGCAGTGTGGAGATGCAGAAATTACAATGGTATGATAATACAGTAAAATCTATGATATCAAGTGATTGCCAACTTATTTAACCATAAGCAGCCGAAACCTTACTAAACTGCGCACTCACCATTCATATATTTTGAATAGTAATAGACCAATGTATACATTGTAAAATACATGTTTTATATTATAGTACAATGTGCATATTTTGTATTTCTTATCTTTAAATATTTATATTAATTTATTTAAGACATTTTACTTTAACTTACTTTTTGTTTAGCACACTTGTCTTTGTTATATTATGCAAAACTGACTTAGTTTAAGAACTACAGTTGTAATTGTTGTATTGTTATATTGATTTCAATACACTATCAATAATCAAATAAGGTTTTCGGATTGATGATGTAATTAAAAACAGCTCTCCTTTGCAAAACAATATTTAATGACAATATAAAAGCATTATGTAACCCAGCAGTTCATTACAGCCTTTATTACACATTTGACATATTCAGAGGAACACTTCATTAAAATGTGCTTACGTAATACTTTATCAGGCAGCAGCGTAGAGCCATATATTATCCTGAAATGACTTTAATTGATTTTAAAATCAATTGTGCTCTCAACTAAAAGCCAACAGTATGATATTGATACAGCAGGCTGCTAAACCCAAGCAAATACATTGCTGTTGTCTAAAGTAACACATATATAGAAAACAGCAACATGTTGTACTTACATCCATAAAAGGCTCTGGAGACGATCTGCCTCTTCATGTTCTGGCAGAGCATCTTAAGAGGAATACTGGTGGAAAGAAAATAAATCCACCATAATTGTCATATACTTTAAACATGCGCTCTTAATGACGAAAACCACCACCTTGGCTGAAAGGTGGTGGATTTCGTCAAAAAAAATATCAAGCAAAAACCCCTTGTTTTTCTGATGGAGAGGTGGACTAAATGCTGCCTCCACAAAATATCTAGCTCCTTAGAAATCCATTTCACAAAGTCAATAATAATTGCAACATTGCAGGAACGCTTAAAATAATGTGGATTTCACTTGCTCTAATAAGTGTCAAGATTAAAGTTTAAACTGTCCATCCCAAAAATATGTTTAGGTTTTTGCTTAGCTTGTCCCTTATTAGATCTTCTTTCCACTGTGATTAAAATGTGATATTCTAATTCATGCAGCAGTGAGTCATAAAATCTTAGTCTGAAGTCCGTTTCAAGTTTAAAACATTTTGAACGACTCTGTAAAAATCAGTTTGTAGGAGTGAATTCTACGGAAACCCTAAACATCTTCATTGCCCTTCATAGCTTCCGTGGGTCCACATGAAGACAATTTAATAATTACAATTGGCTTTCCATAATTTTTAATTGATCATTTTATGCTCATTAATGTAAAAACCAAAGTCAGTGTGATCCCTAAGAATTACGTACATCAAATTAAGACTGACTGTCGCACACAGAAGTGAATCAGGACGTACGTGTGGATGTCCGCCGGGTGGATGCAGGTGCAGCCGGCGGGGAATTCGAAGGACACGTTGGTGCCCGCCGTGGAGCAGGACAGGCACAGCGGTTCGTGAGCGCTTGCTTCGCCCTGTTGCCACGACGACGGGCTGCCTCCGAAGCCCTGCATCTCCATCATCTCCCCGTGGTCTGAACCAGAGAGAGCGAGAGTGAGAAGACAGAGGAAGAGTTCTGAGACTAAATGGATGTGCTACACTCTTTGTTACAGTGCCTATGTTCTGTGCCTTACATATTATGACATAGGCCCCTCAGCTCAACCATAAATACATGTGTCATGTATTGTTGTCATGACATCAAGAGATGAGTAGATGGATGAAAGTTTTACACTCATGTGAGAGCTGGAAAACAAGCTTATAGAGGAAAGCACAAGTGAAGAGGGGAAAGAGTAGGAAGAAGGAACGGAGCTGAGGGAGAGAGACAGGCAGAGAGGATGCTGGGAGGCCATGCTGGTGCAAATCATTCAGGGGGGGGAGACAGCAGCAGGAGAGAGGAGGAAGTATCAGAGGAAGAGGAGAGGAAGGAGCTGAAAGTAGAAGACAGGGACGAAGCTGACGCTCAGGCAGTGCAGGATGCATAAAGCCAGAACAAGACAAGAAATCAGCAACAAAAACAAACATGGACACCAGTAAAAGGGCACACAAAGGGGAGGGGAAAAAACCATAAAGAACGTCAACATTCAATAAATGCTCTTCACCTTAATTCTTCAGGTTGGAGCTGATGACCTGTCATAAATATGAAGTTGCGTTTTTGGTAACCCCCGAAAGACAAATTAATGAACGAAAAAAAAAACGAAAGCAGAAATAAAGCTGGAGTGAGACCGAACATTTGGCCTCCCCCCTCTTTACTTTAGTACTACACTGGATCAACGTGTGTTTTATTTGGGCGACCCCCGCTCACACGAGGACTCCACATCTCTACTACTGCGGAACCCCACAGGACCGTAATGAGAGGGGTGGAGGACTTGTGTTGATTCAAGGACAGCGCGACCGAAACAGCGTCTATACTAGTCTAATAGGTCAATTACGTATCGTCGCGAGCGACTGTGAAAAAGGACCAATTGCAGACAAGAAGGGTGGCGAGTCGGCTCGTGTCAAATTAGCCCGTCCGAACCGTACCTAGGAATGTAGGCTCGCCGGACAATTGCCGTGTGCCTTCTCGTGTGTGACCGTTTACTTCTCCCAACAAAATATCTCACGAACCCGTTTTGTTCCGCTGCAAGTAGTCTGACAGAAGTTTGAGGCGGTGTACAGTTGGAATTCAGATCCGGCAAACTAAGACCCTAGGCCCGTCAACACAAATCTCAAACCTCTCCCAAATCCGAGAGCCTTGCCGTACTGAGTTGTGAAAACCCAGACTCCGGGGCGTCCTTAGCCGAACCTATTAAAAGAAAAACGTGAGAAATTAAAGCTGGAATTGAGAAGAAAAACCCGGGAAAGTAGAAACCTTGAACGTCGTACGACTGTCAAAAAACGTACCCTTTTGTTTACGTCGGGTAAACGTAGCAAAAACAAAGAAAATTTCTTACTGATACAACAAGATAGCATTAAGACACTACCTTTAGAAAGTCGTCAAGTGAGAAAAACAGCAAAACTAAAGAGATAGAGACGAGGGGTGGGTTGTGTTGGACTGAACAAGAGGAGACAAACACGTCAGCAAGCGACGTTACGACAAGTGACATGTAAGAACTTGTGATTGCCGGTGCGGGTGCGGAAATGGGGTGGGGNAGTCACTTCCTCACCTCCACCGCTTCCATGTTTTCTTTTGTGTTGCCATAAGTTAGTCTCTCTGCGTTTGTGCGCTGGGCTAATGCTAATAATGCTAATGCAAGCATTAGCATTATTAGCATTAGCCCAGCGCACAAACGCAGAGAGACTAACTTATGGCAACACAAAAGAAAACATGGAAGCGGTGGAGGTGAGGAAGTGACTAAAGGAACTAAAGAGTTATGACATACTTGCAGACCCTCCCGATTTTCGCGGGAGACTCCCGATTTCATTGCCCTCTCCCTGTTTCCTCCCGTGGTCATATTTCTCCCGCATTTCTCCCGATTTCTGACAAAATCAGATTTACTCAGGACTGTTTCCACTCGGACTTTAATACAGCTACACCATTGTTTGGTTTCCATGGTAACACGTCTCTTTAGTAGCGCACGCTACTCAAAGTCTGAGCGGGTGAGGCAGATATTCACAGAAAACAGAACAAGAATCGACAACTACTCTACTCTCAGCTCACTCCTTTGCTGTAAAAACAGGTCCAGCCCACACATATGCTCCATCAAGGACGGTGCTACAGGCNACTCAAAGTCTGAGAGGATGAGGAAGATAGTCACAGAAAACAGAACAAGAATCGACAACTACTCTCTGCTCACTCCTTTTCTGTAAAATACAGGTCCAGCCCACACATATGCTCCATCAAGGACGGTGCTACAGGCCGCAAGGCAGTGCACTTACAACTACAATAAGCATGTTAATGTTAATCTACAGCTCCGGCAACCCACTAGCACCCCTCCCCCTCTCCCCGGTTTTGAAATGCTCCCGATTTCTGAGGTCTCAAGGTTGGCAAGTATGAGTTCTGATGAACTAAGTAGCCTACAGCAAAATACTTGGTGTGAAAGCGCCTATTGTTACAAGTAAAAGTCCTGCATTCAAAATATTATCTGCATCAATATACTTTACGTATATAAGTAAAGTACTTTTTCTGTGTAACGAGTCCGACACATCTAACAATCATATATTTACCCAATGACTTGATCATTAAAGTGTTCATCGCAGCATGGTAAATGTATAGCAGATTTAAATACCTTTATATACTGCTTCTGAATATCTCAACCTACTTATTTATATTCTGTATGAGAGAATAGTCTCAATCTATCAAGTAACTAAAGCTGTCGCATACAGTACATGTAGAAGAGTAACAAGTCTAATATTCCAAAATGCAGTGGAGTAAAGTGCTGTTAGTATCATACCATTTAATATTTAGGAAAAGTACAAACACCTCACAAATTATTTTAAGTAGTTCAGCTCTAATGGAAATTCATTAAGAGTCAACTATTTATAATTCATATTTCATTTTTCACTTGCAGACCCACAACCGCACCAATCTTCAATTTATTAGAGCTAACTGTAGTTAAGCCATGCTAGCTAATATACCTTCACAGCGTTTACATATTCTGATTTTAAAGTCAGTGCATCAATAGTTTAATTCATTATAAAATATATATTTTTAAGAAACACAACTGCTTATGTAATCAAGATGATCAGATTGGATTCACATCATCAGATACTCAATAACAAACAATATGTTTCGACCCCTTCCCCCTGGGACAACCAATCTAAATATAAATTTATTTGATAAGATAGGACTATATTTAGTTATTTACAAATATACAATAAACACAGCAGCAAAAATAATATAACAGTGCAGTAAAAAGAGCTAATTGAATAACTACAAGAAATAATCAATATAAAAACATGTAAAAAACTATACAGTGACAAGCAGTATTGAATAGTGCAAAAAAACGTAGTGGCAGATACGTAAGTAAAAGTAGTAAAGGTTGAAAAGGCACTTCCAATAGCTTGTTGGGCTATTCATGCTAAGATTGTATCTCCCATAAAGCATTGTGTTGTTCCGTGTTTTAGTTGGTTCCCTTTCAGTCTCAGTAGAAGTGAAAAAGTAAACTACTAGACTCTGCACCACATCCCGCATGCAGATGCTGGAGCTGCAGCGTTAAAAGTTGCATGTGTGCTTGTTTTCGCTTCATGTTTTGACAAAATATTCATGTTTTGAGCAAAGCAGAAATACTATTCCAGTATCCAGCAGCAGGAATCATGTTTTCTCTAAACTCTACCTGACTTGTGAAACAACTTCTTTGAAATAATTACACAGGAGAAAGGAGATACTCTGCACTGTGGCCCATTTAACATGAAGGGGTTTTAACTCTGCTGAGAATTCAAAATATAAAGACCTCTACAGTAACGATCAACGTGTAGAGGCAGAGGACACAAATTGACAAAGTAAATGGAGCTTGCAAAGGCAGGTAGGAGGTGTGACAGTCCAGCTGGAACATGGTGTGCAAATTAAAAGTTCAATATATTTGATTTAGCTTCGAGAACAGCCCGAAGGCACTGGCTCACTCTCGGCCCACTTCAGGTGGCTCTGAACTTTACCAGTCGATGATACTTGAGCTTTGCACTGAACCTGGTTTTCCCAGACATAAGTCAGGTTCTCTCTGTGGAAAAAACACTCTTGACACTTTTCTTGTTATTTCTTCACTTTAAAACAGTGCAGCGAAGGTGAGGATACCCCTGATATACAGCCAGCTGAGTCAGAACCAAGGTTTTCCAAGCCGTCCCCTTTGTGCAGGATTTATTATCAGTGGGCGTAATAAACTATCCCTAAATCTACAGATCTGGTGACCCTGAGGTGAGGCTATCCGGCTCAGTCTGCTGCTTTCTCCCTGATCCAAAGATGCTACACATTCCCTGCAGGATCCTTAATTTACGCCCTTTGTGGTCACTGCTACAACATTTTTTTTGAAATGCCTCATATACTTCCTGTTGCCACTGGCAGCTTTAGTAAAATGTCAAACCTTGGATGACTTCATGCATAATCTAAGTGTTTGAGACATTAAGCAGCTGTATTTGTTTTGTCCCTATGACAGGCTGCAGTATCTGTTTTAGACTAATTGATGCGTTCATCGGGTTCACTCCTTGTGAAAAAGGACCTCCTCTAGTGTCGTTTAAAGGGAGGAAATGGAGAAGGACACAGTGAGTGAGCATCTTCTCAGCAGAGAGCATGCATAATTGCAGGTTGCTATGCAACTGAATATATCCTCCGCAATGAATTATCTCTGTGTCAGTCGAAAGTTGAGATAAGAAATTGTTCCCATTTGCATATGAATACAAGCAAAGTTGCATTTGCAGATAGCAGCAGTATCAATCACGATGGAAACATGACTTGCATGAATGCACACAAGAGTTAAAAAGAAGAAATGAAATAGGTTTCATTTGCAGCCAGGAAACATTTCTAAACAGTTTTGGTCTTCTTATCAACACGTACTGATACTATCAGCCATGCCGAGGTTTAAGCCATAAAGCATATATAGTATTTGTTTAAAAAAGTATTTGCCTTTTGCCGAATGATAGACTATAGACAGGAGAGGGAAAGAGAGGGGATGACTGCTGATAGCCCTCATCTGGCTGTGAATCCCTGCTGTTACGGTACTTCGTGGTTGTTTTTTATGGTGATCACATCTTCCATTAGGTCAAGGAGAGAAGTTGGCACCTATAGCAGCTTATTTCATTCCATTTTTTCAGCATTGGATGAATTGTAAGATTCAACAACTACCATTTTCAGTAAAAAAAGAGAAAAGGAAATATGGAGGTTTGGAGATGAATGTTATATTGAGACTGAAGTCCTTTTGGAGGAGGAGGTGATGGATGGTTGGGCATACTAAGTGTATGAATTTGATACGAGCGACTGGAGTTAGGAGCCTCTTTCCCACCATTATAACAATGACTCTGAACCTCCCTCAGCCTGGGTCGAGTATCTTTTTTCTCCTAGGAATATTGACCAAAGAAGTGGCCGGATAGAAAACCATGATATCACTGGTTTTCGTCAATGGTCATTTTGGAAAAAGGGGGCATCAGTTCAGCCCACCTAATCCCAGGCAGTGATTTAAAGTGTGGGGGCTTTAGCAGCAAACGCACAGTCATCTTTTTCTTTCAGCCAAGACTTTGGAAAAGATTACAGAGTTTTGCCTGAAGAGCTCATGCGGCGCTTGGTCGTAAGGGAAGAGCAGCTCGGAGATTTAAAGAGGTGCCAAACCAAACAAGGACACCAGCAACGAGT